CTGGTCTGGGCTGTCCTACAGAACACAATCTCAGGGCTGTTCGGAGCACTGGAGAAGGAGGGAGATTTCAAGATCAGTGCACAGGCATTTTCAACCATTGTGTTCCTTCCACCAGAGCCCAGGAAGCATTCTCTGCACTAAAAAAAGTTCACTCTCTATGGCCTTCCCCCCATGGACTGTGAGGATGAGTGATTGCAGCGCCCCAGACACAGCCGGGTACCGTGAATGACACACAGTAAGTGCTCAATAAAGAAAGAAGTGAGTCCAGATACTTAGCTCCCATAAGGTAGAACTACAGAGAGAAGGTGGTGAGCAAAGTTGTTTGGAAACAATTTGAAAGCACTCAGCCTGGGGCGGAGGTGAGGGGTACATGGGCCCAGGTGCCCACCCTGTGTTCAGAGCCCCAGCTCTTGTTGGGCTTCACCTTACATGGTCCAATGAGGTGGTACAACAGCTTGTTGGAACACGGAGATGCTCAAGTCAATGCTAGCTATAAACTGAACACCTGGGGGAGAGATAAAACAATACCAGGCTTATTTGAAAAACACGTGACTGAGTCCAGTGTCCACACACAGCTGATCTTCAGGGCCCTGGACCTGGGTTCACGCAGAGACCGAGCAGCCCTGGGTGTGCTGCCAAATCTTGGCTGCGTGAGTGGCAATGATCCTCACTTCATAAAAAAAGTGATGGAGACAGAGTAGTGAAAGTGAGACATTTATTTCCAGTTCTGTGGAAGTTGGGCATCAGCCTAGACAAAATGCAGGAATGAATGGTGGGCCGGTTTGACACAGAACAGTGGTTTTTATATTCCTAATAGCATTTCCCTGCCCCTGAATTCCTCATCTGCTGAGTTCTCTGGGGAGGTACAATCTTTCCTCTTTTGTCTAGCAAAGTCCTGACCCCAAATTCCCCATCTGACTGGGGTACAGATCTCTTCCCTTCTTCTGATAGGTGGGCTTAATCATGTAGATTAACTTTTCAACCCTAAGGCAAACTAACATGCACCCAGGCAAGCAAGCTCCAGCAGCCAGCTGGAGAAGACAGGCCCAGTGCCTCTTGCTTGTCCATAATTCATCAATGAGCTCTAAACGTACCTCCTACTGAAAACAGACCACAATGATTTGTTTCTTACAGCTGTTTAGAGCACTAGGGTTTCACTCTGGGGGCCCCCACGTGAGGAAGCTGCACATCCTCCACAGCTGACAGACTCAGGGGAAGGCCAGCTCCTCCCACAGTACCTCACTGTGAGCAAATGCTGAGCTGTGCCCTCCCTTGTGCGTCACAATCCTGCCTGTTCCCCAAGCACAGCATCAACCTGACTTCTTCCTCGGCTGCTTGACGGACAGCCCCTCCCTGAGCCCACCTGGCCATCTTAGCCTTAGGATACTGCTAGGTGGTGCCACAGAGGGGCATGGACAGGTCTGTACAGATATGCACAGCTGCCCCAAAGGAGGCAGCCGGGGAGCCTGTCCTGCTGGCCATTTGAGACTATCGCCCCCAAACCACAGCTCCAGACAAGGAAATGGGTCTGGCTTGGTTTTGTCATGGGCCACCTCTGTATCTAAGGCAAAGAATTCAGGATACATTTGCTAAGTGAGTACTCCCATCTGCACAGCTGTCTACCAGGGTTGCCCCAGGGGCCTGGGCTCTGCATGTGGCTTCTTTCAAGAAGTGCAGCCAAAAGGAGTTTCCTGTCCTTGTGCAAGGAGATAGCCTGGGTGGGCCTGCAGGAAGTAGAGCTGGGGGGTGGAGGGGTCTGGGGAGCTGAGGCACAGGCCAGGCAGGCTACTCCTCCTACGTCTGCCCTGTTCTGTTCTTCTGTAGTAGCTGTGTGAATCCCTGGGCAGACACCTGGGAAACCGGGGGGTCACAAACACGGGTAACCAATAAAACTAAGGTACCTTCCATGACTTGGCCTATTTACGATGGGTTAGAAAGAGGTTAGACCTGTGGCCTGAGTCCTGGCCCTACCTGATCCTAGCACAAAGGACTGCTCAGACTCATTGGGTGCTCTAATTTACTTTTCAGAGTTTTTCTTAAGAAAATTTATTTTTTATTTTTTTTGTCTTTTTGAAGCAGGGTCTCCCTGTAGCCCCAGCTGTCTTAGAACTCACTATGTAGACAGGCTGGCCTTGAACTCACAGAGATCCGCCTGCCTCTGCCTCCCAAGTGCTGGGACTATAGGCGTGCACTCCCACGCCTGGCAGAAAATTATTTTTTAAAGTATTGTTTCCTTAAAAACATTATTAGGCTGGGCGCACGCCTTTAATCCCAGCATGCCGATCTCTGTGAGTTCAAGGCCAGCCTGGTCTCCATAGTGAATCCAGGACAGCTGGGTCTACAGGGAAACCCTGCCTCGAAAAGACCAAAAAAAATAAAAAAATAAAAAATAAAAAAACAAGAACCATTCTTATTATTAATTATTATTATCATTTTAAAATTAGATGCTATTCTTGGGGCTATAGGATAGTACACAGGTTCATCAATTACAAAAAAGGCCTTTTCCTCCTTAACTCCTAGAGGAAGGTTTGACACACGTCATTAGATTTTCTGTATGTAGGTATGCATACACAGCACGCGTGTACACCTATACAGATAGATGCACCTGTATACACTGCATATGTAATGTGATGTGTATTATACACGCTTACATTTACAACATATTCATGTGTGCACATACACACGCATATGTGACTTAATGAAAATGACTTTTCCTGATGTTTTTCAAACCAAGCACTAATTTTTTTTTTTTTTTTTTTTTTTTGTCTTTTTGAGACAGGGTCTCCCTGTAGCCCCAGCTGTGCTGGAACTCACTATGTAGACCAGGCTGGCCTTGAACTCAAAGAGATCTGCCTGTCTCTGTCTCCTAAGCACTGGGATTAAAGGCATATACCACCACACCTGGCTCCAAGCACTAATTTTTAGTAGGAGCTTTTGCAAAGGGACTCAGTAACCCCTCGGTAACCCCCTGCAGCCCCTTCCCCAGGGCTGGTTCCACAGTTTCTAGCATGGTGACTGTCAGTGGATTGGCACTTTATAAACAGGACTTGCCACCCACTGGCACAAAGACAAATGTTGCCCAATGGTGATTTCCCAATGTCTTTGGACAAGGCACGGTTGTTCTGAATAGCTCATTAAAAACAAACCTGGAAACTGTGGTAGAGTCTAACACTCTCGGAGACTTAAGAAGCTGCGTGCCAGGTAGCGACTGGAAGCAAGACCACAGAGCTAGGTAAATCGGCACTGGGTGACATTTCTCTAGTGTGGGGACAAAGTTCCGGCCTTATGGGTGTGGGTGCTGAGGAGCAAAGGGTCCAAGTTGTCCTTGGAACTTTCCCAGCATAACTTAACACTGCTGTGACTTTGCTCATGGAGACAGAGCGATCGATTGATTGCAAAAAATACACAGTGCTATTGCCACTCTGTGTCCCTTGTTTGCGAGCTGTGGACACATGTGGCTGTCCCTCGCCTGTCCAGATCTCAGCTCCTCACGGCACTTGCTGATTGTTATGCATTTGATCTTGGCCGAAAGGCCAAGAATCAGTGACTCTTACACATCTAAGAACCGCCAGCTCTACTGAGCGGACATGCTGCGCTGAGCAGAACCAGGTTTCCCTGACAGGGCATTTGTGGGACCAGTCTGCTCTTGGTTGGTAGTGGGTGTTACACTGCTGCCCTTGTGGAGAGGGATGTATGTGTGTGTTTCTTGCCCCCAAGCTTGTGTCCTATTAACGGCTCTGCCTTTGGTCCAGCATTTAAAGCCACTCGAGTTTGACTTGACTCCTGTATTTGCTTAGCTGTGTGTGTCTTTTCTCCATTGGCTCTTGGCCCCCAGGAGCACAGGCTCCTGGCCATCCTGTCAGCGCTCTGCCCCAGCACTATACTACCACCTGGTGCAGGGTGGCCCGAGGTAGTATCCATGGATAAATGTAGAGGTGGAGCTTTGAAATAGCTTACTGGTTTAAAAAGTCCTTGCATCATTTGGAGAGACAGGCAGTAGCAGGCACCGGAGAGAAAAGGAAGGTATGTTTAGAAAGCAAAGGTGTTTGCTATGCACACACAGGCATGTCCTAAAGCAGGGCCTGTCTCATGCTTTAGAGTGTGAGAGTGGGCCAGTGAAAATTTTCTGAACTCTGCTTGGTCTAGCTAGCCTGACACAGCAGCAGGGAGAGAGGAAGGTAGGGATGGCCAGCTGGCTTCCTTCCTCTCTACAGAGTAGGGGCACCTTAGCTGGACTGGATGCCATGGTCAGTGGCTCTGCAGGCTCCACAGTCAGATTAGATGGCTAGTCAGGCCACTCAAATGCCAGTAATGGAGGCAGATACTGGGACCTCTGAAAGCCAGGAGGCCCGGAATCTCAGGCCCTCATGGTCTCTGCCAACCTGGGGCTCCATGGAAGTCATCAGATGAGAGCAGTTCTGTTAAGATGGGTCTGGGCTCTCCGATAAGTAGTAGAAATTAGCCGAAGGGCCTCACTGACAACAGCTAACTCATCACTGAGCTTTTTTTCAGACTGGCACAGGTTGTGCCTCACTGAGGAAGAGCACCGTGTCCAGGCTAGCCCTCTTTTCACTCAGGAGGTCGTCTACCTAGCCAGGTTATTGCTGTACATCTGGGGTTGGTAGTCTACACTGAGAGGGCAGCACCTTACTAAGAGGAAGCCTCCTCCCAAGCTGCAGGTACCCTGTAAGGATACTTCATCTTCCTGCAGGAAATGAATAGGCTCCGGAAATACTTATTTAGCGTTGCTTTTAGATGTCAGATGTAAATGCCAAGAAAACTGATGATAAGTTGCTCACATGAACATCTTCCTTAAAAGGGCAAACCACTGATTAGACTTCCCTTAAATTAAGAGCAATCTTTAGCTTCTCGGCAGGAAGTTTACTGATTTAAAAATTCCTCGCAGCATTTGGAGAGAAGGGTGCTAGCAGGACAGTGGCCTCTAGTGGCTGGTGAGGTCACCTGCACCATCCAGTGTCCTTCCTTAAGCTTTATATTAAGTTTTGGGTCCTTTGCTCTCTACCCACTAAGAGAGGTCCGATCTGCACACATCTGCAAAACCATCACTTTTCTAATAGAAACAGGTGGCGTGATTATTGGTACTTTTGAAGGCTCTCCATCTAAATCCCTCCAGCCATGGGAAGTCAGCCCTGACCAGGTTCACTTAAGGTTCACAGGTTCTCTGTGTGCAGTTTGCTCTTCTGTCCTGTGGTCCAAGTTCAGGACTGCAGAAATGTGTCAGTGGGGGTGGGGGGCGCTGTCAGGGTCTAGGTAGATAGAGCGCCCCTTATTTTGGCAATGAGGGAATCTTGGGTGACCACATCTGAAATCCATCCTCAGTTAGATTTGGGGCGGTGCCCATAGGCAGCTCCCATAAGGAGCATCTTCTCCCGCAGCCTTTGAACAATGCTCCTCACTTTCAAGGTCCCTCTTGACATGGAGAGGACTCAGGGAGACGTGGTCAAAGCACTGATGTCAGAAACCGCGGGCCGGTGGCTCTGACTTGCAGAGGTGAAACTTCACAGACACAGAGCTCCCCAGGAGATCCGGATGGACTATGAGGAGCTGAGACAGCAGCCTTTAGAAGTTGCTCCTGGGGCCGTTTGTCAACTCAGAAGATAGTCCCGGTAAGGTTCAGCAACCAAGGGAGGAAGAACCCAAGAGTGCAGAGAGAGTTCCAGAAGTCTGTGAACACACAGATCATCTGGCGGATCGTAGACAGGATCTGGGGCTGACATCTACCTAAACAGTCAAGAAATTAAAAGGAAGTCAAAATTCATTAGCTGGCCTGTGAGGTGGTGCACGCCTTTAATTGCAGCACTCAGGAGGCAGAGGAAGGCAGATGTATGTGAGTTCAAGGCCAGCCTGGTCTGCATAGTGAGTTCCACGTCAGCTGGGGCAGCAGGGAGACCCTGTCTCAAAAAGACAAAAAAAAAACCTCATTAACTAGTAGCAAGATTAGTGTGGGAGTCCATGCAATAGTAGGTGCTCGGTTCCTTTCAATATCGCCCCAACTCTTCTACCTCTGAAGGTCAAAACAGCATCTTATTGACCTTTCCTGGTGATTACGATAATTAGTTAGAGTGGTTGCAAGCCTTTCTTGTTAGCTCTTAGACTTTTGCAACCTCATTTGTCACAGGAAACCAAGATTCAGAGGCTAACGTGATCTTCCTGAGATGGCAGAGGGTTAAAGGACAAAGATCAAGCCTGTTTTCACCATTACAGTCTCTTGTTCACAAGTTCATATGGGTGTGCATGGTCATGTGTGTACAGGTGTGTGCGCATGTAGAAATCAGAGCAGCACTCTGATTTGTCACTCAGAAGTCATTCTCAGAACTGCTGTCGACCTTCTTTAGCCCTCTTATGGGTCTGGAGCTCACCAATCACACTGGACTGGCTGGCCAGTGAGTCCCAGGGGCCCTCCTGTCTCCATCTCCCTATAGCACTGGGATGACAGGTATACTTTGTCATGCCCAGCGTGGGTTCTAGGCTCAAATTCAGGTCCTCGTGCTTGTTCCATAAGTGTATCACTGACTGGGCTTTCTCCCAAGGGGGGTCCCCATGGTTAGAATCTCTTACTAGATTGTATCGCTTTCATGTCTGTATTAGTATAATAACCCATGTTTAGTCAATATATGAAGCCATGTATTTCTTAAGGCTTTTATTTTCATAAGAATAAGTTAAGTTACAAGGATCTTCTAACCATTATTGGTAGTCACGCTACTTAAACAGGGTGGCCTGCTTCCCACCATGAGTTACCAATACTGCAAGATTCACTTTCTTGATCCACACTGGGTAGAAATGACGAAGGACATACAACTTTGGGAACAGTCTGCAAACAATGAACTTTATCAGCAGTTGAGTAGAAAGGGCTCTTGTTTGGTCGTTGGTTATTCAGTCTGGGAAAGCTGTTTGAAGCTCTAGACCTGCCCTGTCCAGTACAGCAGCCAGCAGCCACATGCACCCACTAGAATGTTCATGTTGACTGACTAAATGAAACACAATTCCAAATTCAGTTCCCCAGTTGCACCCAACTGTGATTTAAGAGCTCAGTGGCTGGGTGTGGTGGCGCACGCTTTAATCCCAGCTCTCGGGAGGCAGAGGCTGGCGGATCTCTGTGAGTTCAAGGCCAGTCTGGTCTAGTGAATTCTAGGCCAGCTGGAACTATAAGGAGACCCTGTCTCAAAAAGACAAAAAAAAAAAAAAAAAAAAAAAGAGTCTAGTGGACACTTGTGCCTGGTGGCTGCTGAGTTGTTCGGGCCTGAAATAAGCAAATTCCTGGGCTTTGCGGAAGCTGAGTCCTGTCTTGTAAATGGGTCCATATTAGTTACTTTTTTGTTGCTGTAATAAAATTCATTGACCAAAAGCAACTTATAGAAGAAAGAGTTTATTTGGGCTTATAGTTCTCGAGGGAGAGTCAAAACGGGAGGAGGTATGGTACCAGGCAGCCAGAGTAGGAAGCTGGCTGATCACGTCCATCCGTAGGCAGGAAGCAGAAGGAACAAGAAGCGGGTGGGGCAAGAGGATAAACCCTTGAAACCCACCTCCAGTGATGAACTTCTTAAACCAAAGCTGAACCTCCAAACAGCGCTACTAACTGGGGACCCAGTGTTGAAATACCTGAGCCTACGGGCTTTCAACCACCACAGGGTCTAAGTTTTGAATGATGTGTCACAGCATGAAGTGGTGCATGTTAAAGTGTTCTGCAGGTGGCAAGTACCGTGCTCATCATTTAAAGTGATACTGCAACATTGTAAAAGCACATGTCTTTGTAAAAAAAAGACTTTGGCCCAGGATCTTATCATCACATTTCCTCTTTCTCAGAAGCCTAGATTATGTACTTGAAAGCTGACATTTTTGCTTTGTTCTTTAGACGAAGGAACAGTCCGCGTTCTGCGCCATTGGCAACATCTCTGGACACAAGAGGTACTGGTAAATACTCACCAAATGTGACATTCACCACTTAACAAAAAGATCACACCTATCTGAAATCAGTAGGAAAAAGAACAATCGCACAGAAGTTGATAAGTCATGATCTCTGCCCCAGAAAGAAAGCACAAGGTGGACAGTGTGAATGAGTGACATGCAGCCTGTGCACCGCAGGGCCAGGAAAGCCAAGCACCTTAACCAGCCACAGCTTCAATAACTAACCCACATCTGACTCAGAGAGACGACGGGCTGCTTGGGACCAGCTCCATTTCCTGGGCTTCAGTTGGTTTCTTTTAGGGAGCTACACATACTCACGTCCACTGACATTCACTGGTACTGACACCTCGGTCCACACAATGGAGAGGAGCCTCAAGAATGTCCTGGTGGTTTCTTTTGGATTCCTCCTCCTCTTCACTGCCTACGGAGGCCTGCAGAACCTGCAGGTAAGTATGCCCTTGTCACAGTATCTCGACCTGGACCCTAGGCTTCCCATGGCCCCATGGCCCCAGAGGATGAAAAAAATGAGGTTCTTTTTATCCAGTCCACTTTCATACCCCCACCCAATCCTCTGAAATAAACCATGGCTTTTCAGATGAAATCCTAAAGGTTCAGCTTCAGCTTATGTTCTACCTACCAGGACTGCACAAGAGTCTACATGCCTGGGTGTGTTTGACCCAGGGCAGAAGTGCAAAGGGCTTTTTGCCTTTGGGTGGTTAAAAGGAAACCACTGGGTGTTATGGGACTATGCCCTGGGCTTTGTGGTTGAAAAGAAATGTGAGTTTATTAAACCTCCCTTTGTCTCATAGATTCTAAGCAAGCTTTAAGCAAAACTGTGGACTTTGACAAAATAGTCTACATTTTGAAATATTATGGAATTCTCCCTGCTCAGATCTGTGAGGCTATATGAAAACTAAGGCTCTAAGAGGCCGGGACTTAGGCCATGTGACCCTGGGTCATGTAGACATGGGTCCTGTGCATCTGGGTCACGTGGACCTAGGTCTTGTGGATGTGGGGAGGGCTTGACATCTCCTGTGGTAGTTACATTTCAAGTAGGACTTTTACGAGAAACAGACCCTCTGGGGAATCCTAGGACTGGCCAGGAATAAGAGCTGTTGCTGTCCCCCGGTGCAGTCACTCACTCAGGATCGTGTTTCCTGACTTCTGGTGATGAGTGTACCCGCAGTATTAAATGGCTGTCAATCAGACATCTTGTGCGTGCTCAGGGCTGAACCAAGCTACACAGGACTCAGAATAGAAGGTTCCGTCCTCACCGGTGCTCCTCAAACACTATGGACCTGGAGGCTGGCAAAGAGGCTGGAATCTAGCTGGAATTCTCTGGTTTGTTTCTCCATCAAACACCCACTGGAGTCTGTTTCAGATGAAGCTCACAAAGAACAAAGGAATGGCAGCCGTGACTCTCAAGCAAGAGGACGGAGACATGGTCCCCCTCTCCACCTCGGTGTCGGAGTGCACACCTGCAGAACCTCATGATGGGTGTGTGTGAAACCCTGGGCTGTATGGAGGTGAACTGAGTTCCCGTGGGTCAGAGTGCATGTTCTGAAAGGAGAACTTGGTGACGGTGTGGACGGCAGCAATACTCCTTCAGCAGGCTCCAGCACTGAAGGGTGCTCTGTGGCACAGTGTCAGGCAGGACAGCTCCGTGTCAAGAGTCAAGGTGCAATCGTGGATGTGGTGGTGACTCAGTCAACTGCAAATTGGGCCCTGGATGAGGAAGTTGGAGATGGCAGGTGGCAGGGAGAACCTTAGTGCTGGTGGCCGATGGCTTGTGAGGGCAGGTGTGTGGCTACAGATGACAGCAGGCAGAAGAGTGTGGCCTCAGGGGCCCTGGTCCCTGGGAAGCCTCCAGGCAGGAGCCATGCAGCCCACATCTGGCCTCACTTTTACCATGAGCAGCCGTGTCTCAGTGTCACCAGAGCACCCCTGCTCCTCTGGGGCCCGTGGAATGGGAGCCACTTGCTTGGTGGCATTATTTCCTCCTCAAAAATTGTAAACATAAGACAACCAGGCTGTCTGCTCTGGTGGCACTCAAGGGGCAAAGACCAGTCCCACTACTTTCCATCACTCACCAGCCGCACCCTAGTCCCAGCCCTCACTGGCCTGATTGTCTTGTCCACCGACCCAGACCGCATTGCATATAAGCACATCTTAACAGGACAATGACTTTCACTAATCAGGATGGGCTTCATCAAAAAAGGGTGTATGGACAGATGGACAGGCATGACTTCAGGACGGCTGGACCCCAGTGGGGTTGCAGGAACCCACTCCATCCTCGATTTCACAGGCTTTGTCCTGTTGGCTTCATTCTTAGGCTCCAAAGAGCTGCCGAGTTCTTGAAGCCCAGCAGTCCCAGCAGGAACAGAGGGCCTCATTCCCGAGAGTCCCCATGCTGCTCTGGACAGGATGGGACCTTTTCCCCTCGTAAGCCCTGGAGTTGTACCTAACTGTGTGTTTAGGCAGGTGCCACATCGCTGCATGTGCCTGTTTACTTTTCTGTCATCAGCCAGCCATCTGCATGTGCCAGGACGCAAAGACCAGCTCCATGGGCATCACCACATTTTAGGGCAATGCTATCTACTTGCCCTGGGGTGTGGAAGGCACTCGTGGACATTTGCTAAAAGAAGAAATCATCTGGGAATGCTCATTTGCTCAAAACATTTCGAAGCTCTCCCTGGGCTCCCCGCATCCATCCAGGTCCCCAACATACAGAGGTTCCTGTGGTCTAGCTCTAGCAAACTCTCTAGAAGCACTGGAGATGTCTGACAGAAGTAGCCTGAGCTCCATGCTGCTTCATCACAGGGGAGATCGCAGCAGACGTGGCTCCTCCACACCCTTCAGCTCTAGGACTTCACTGCTGGATAGCTGGCCCCTTGCCTGTCCTATGCCTTCACACATGTCTCAGCTGGTCTTGGGGCTCTAATTTCCTTGAGTATCACCAGAACTTTGCCACCCCCTCCGCACACTTCTCCCCCTCCTCCTGCTCCCCTCCTCCCCGTCTCAGCTGATGGAGGTCTTGGGGCTCTAATTTCCTTGAGTATCACCAGAGCTTTGCCACCCCCTCCGCACACTTCTCCCCCTCCTCCTGCTCCCCTCCTCCCTCTGCCTCCTCTTCCTCATCCTCTTCTTCACCTCCTCCTCCCTTTCCTTTTCTCTTCCAAGCAAAATAAGAGGAAGAAACAGTTTTCCTGTTTTCTTTGACCACAAAAGCTTGCTTTGGCCTTATGACTGTCTTATGTCTTCACTTGTCTGGCTCTGTTTTTATCTTTGGATTTTTATCTCTGGATCGGTTCAGACCAGAGTTCAGCCAGGCCCCTCCTGTGGAACAGCAACAAGAAGAAGCAAGGTGAACCTGTGTGGTCACCAGGCAGCCCAGGGCTTTGGGATGCACATGTCCTGCCTCTGCTCCCAGTGTCTTCCCTGTAGCTCCTCCAGGGATGCCTTCACACTCAGCGCCAGGGAGAGTACCGAAGACCTCACAGAGCCCCCAGCAGCCCTGCTGCTGCCTCCATGATGCTGAAGGCCGACCCTGGCTCTCTTCGGCTTTCCTGTGGTATCCGCATGTAAGAAGCCCGGTGTCTGGTGACTCAAGACTTATGGAGACCTTGAACCTGAGGCCAGCACTCAACTACACCTTATCCCCGACACCTTGTCTCCTCAACCTACCCTGTCCCCTCACCTGTCCCCCTCCTCTGATGGCTGGTCTTTCTTCCACAGAGCAGCCTCTACAGCCAGAATGGCTTGGGGGTGGCAACGCTGAGCACGCTCTATAGCGCTGTGCTACTGTCCTCCATGTTCCTCCCGCCCATCCTCATCAAGAAGTGTGGCTGCAAGTGGACCATTGCCGGCTCCATGTGCTGCTATGTGGCCTTCTCCCTGGGCAGCTTCCACGCCAGCTGGTACGGCCCCTCTAGCTGACCCTCCTCAGTGTGCATGCCTTACGCTCACATGATGACCACTGTCCCCTGCTACCATGTTGGAACAGCCCCCTCCAAGCTCCCATGGAAGGACAGTGTTGATGCCCTCTCCATCTTCCTGTCCAAGCCTCCCTGCCTCCTGGTGGTCCTCCTCTCCTGCTGCTGATCCCATTGCTGACCTCCCCTTGGGATCTACCCTAGACCCTCAGCTTCCCTCTCACATTGGTGTTTTCAGGGCCTTAACAGTGTCAGGGAGGATCTGATATAGATGAGTCTCAAGGGCGAGTGTGGCCAGGAAGACACCAGTGACCCATCCCCTGTAACCTCCACTGCCTAGGGCAGGAACAAAGGGATCACACTGGCCTGGGCAGTGTACTCTGATCTCCACTCCACCCTGCAGGGCCCCTGTGTGGGGGCATCCTGATCCCTTCTTGGGCCCTTTTGCAGGTACACCCTGATCCCAACCTCCATCCTCCTGGGTCTGGGTGCTGCTCCCCTATGGTCAGCTCACTGCACCTACCTCACCATCATGGGAAATTCTGAAGCACAGAAATCAGGGAAGCTCAGCAAGGATGTGGTGAACCAGTATTTTGGCATCTTCTTCCTCATATTCCAGTCATCTGGAGTGTGGGGAAACCTGATTTCCTCTCTGGTGTTTGCCCAGACACCCACTCAAGGTAAGAATGGGGGCTGAGTGTTAGGTGAGTCTGTGGTGTTGCCAAGAAGGTTTGCGTGGCTTATTTCCCTACGGAACTGATCAACTGGCCAGTGTTTTAACTCTCTGTCAGACCCCTTATCTGTGACTGAGGAGAGTGTTCCGTGTCTGTCTTCCTTCACCTCACCCAGCCAGGGACATAGAGTAGCATCTGCCTCATGTCTGTCCATCCGTCCCCACCCCGGGCTGGAGGAAGCCAACCTCTGGTTCTTACAGGTGAGCTTCTCAGAGGCGACATACACTGGCCTCCACTTAGAATCAAGACGACTTCTCTCCCTCTGTCCTGGCCCTGCATCCTGCTCTGCCAGGCAAAGCACCTTTAGGAGGTTCCAGAGACATTCACCTGCTTTCTCCCTTCATGTTACCTGTTCTCCCAGGCAGGGCAGCCACAGATCAGTGCATGCTGGTCTTGCTTATGATCAGTGCCACTCAGTTTAGCCAAGACACAGTGGAAACTTAGGTCAAATCGAGTAGAAACTCAGGGTTTGATTCCTAGCACCCACATACATGGGCTAACAATTATCTGTAACTCTAGTTCCAGGGGATCTGACACCTGCTTCTGATCACTGTGGGCATTGTACAACACAGGTGCACTTACCTACATGCAAGCGATATACTCACACACATAAAATAAAAATAATAAATAGCTGAGCAAGGTGGCGCACGCCTTGATCCCAGCACTCGGGAGGCAGAGGCAGGCAAATCTCTGTGAGTTTGAGGCCAGCTTGGTCTACATAGTGAGTTTCAGGCCAACTGGGACTATGGGGAGATCTTGTCTCAAAAACACCCTCCCCCAATAATAATAATAAATAAAATATATTTTCAAATAGGAGTAACTATTGAAATAGGGAGGAAGAGCATACCCTAGAAGGTTCTTAGTCTCATTTATAAAAGTTTAAGAATGGACCCAATAATAAAGCTTTAGGACAATTTTACTAGAATTTTAAAGAAAAATCCTCAGGGTAGGTGAGCTGGTAATCTTGGCAGCTGCCTTGAGGAGGAGAATGGAGGGAGGAGGAAAGAAAGCCGTGATGCCAGGCAGGTTTAGAGCCTGAATGGGGGTCAGACATGTGGCTGCGAGAAGGACCTTAGAGAAAGTAAAGAAATACAAGATGCTGGGGCCGCCCAAAGCCTTAGAGAACGCATGTTCAGAAAAGGGATTTGGAGAAGAAAAGGAGAGATTATGCTTTTCTGGAAAATTCAGAGAAGGGGGCAGACTCACAGAGATCTGCATGTAGCTGGTCAAGAAGCTCTGTGCTGGGAGGCGGTTCCAGGCAGGAAGAGTTTGCTACCTCATTAACCCACTAGGTACCCACCATCTATTTAGCATGACTTAAGGTGGCCCTTCCTTCCTGGGGGTTGTGACCAGGGAAGCTGGAAAGGTGGGTCCTCCAACAGATAGACTAGAGATTTTGTAGTTTTGTCCAGTTAAACTTATGGAGCTATTTGCTACTCTAACACTACAAAAAAATAAAAGTTGAAAACTTTCAACCAGGTCAGGAAAGAAAAGCATGTAACCAGCATACTTTGTTCTCTGAAGCTGTGCAGGGCAGAGACCTAATTCTGCTTCCTACCCTAAGCATCTTAAAGTCAGGTCAGCAGGCCGTGCCTGAGGGTGAACTGGCCAAGCAGAGCGTGGTCTGCCCATACTGACTTCTCTCACTGTTTTGCTGCTCCACATTTTCACTCCAATTCTGGCTTCCTGCCTCCCTATCCTGCCCTGTCCCCTGCATTCACACCTCTCTCGCTCCCTTCTAACTTCACAGAGACCATCTCAGAGGAACAGCTCCTGTCCTGTGGAGCCAATGACTGCCTGATGGCCACAGCGGCCAGCAACAGCACCCAGCCCCCCTCCCAGCAGCTGATCTACACACTGCTGGGCATCTACACCGGTATGTGCAAATGCCTAACCTCTTCCCATGGTGAGAGACCTGTCGCCCCCAGTGCATAAGTGAACTTTCTGCATTGCAAAACCCCTGCCAAGTACGGGGCTGGGTCAGCCTCAGGTACTCATCTGTGAAAGCAAACCCAGTGACCAGTGCTGTCTAACACTTTACATTTTAGCTACTTAGATCAAAAGCTCTGCCCCTTCCTCTCCCTAACCACACTTCCCGTGCTCTATAATAAACATTATGAGATAACCACACACAGGAGGATTAAATATGTACAAGCTGTCAACAATCCAGTCTCTGAAAATTGTCCTTTCCTTCTGAGGAAATATTAGGGTGGCTCTGGGCTGGATGAGGAGGATGGCTGTCTGTCCCTGGACACCAAGGGGTTGAGCATGCATGAGCTCTGAAGGCCAAAGTGGTGGCCCACGGGAAGTTGCCACAGTGCTTACAGGTTCATTTGAATAGAAAACTTAATGCTTGAGTTTACTCAGATGTCCAGATCTATTACTCCTTTGAAGGGATATGTTTAAACATTTCCCCAAACTATATTTAAAGATATTTAAGTATATTCTGTCATCTTGGGTTTTAGAATTCAGCATGACCTTAGATATGTCCCTTTCATGGATCAAGGGTCTGACTAGGTGAGCTGAGCCCAGCATGCTGTGGGAGTGGGAAGTCAGATGGGGGAGGGGGCGTTGTCATACACTCTGCAGAGTTTGGTCTTCATGCTGAGACAGCTAGATGCCCCAGCACTTTGTCACTTTTGAATCACCCCAAAGTCAGAGGTACTGAGCATGCTTGTGAGCAATCACTGGAAGTTGGTAGAGCACATGGAGTGCTTGAGTTTGTCACTGAGCAAAGTGCTAGGTCTCCCATAGCCTAGAAACAAAGTCCACAGGAGCCTCACCTTCAATGGCTTAGAGATCAAAGGAGGAGGAAAGACACATTCAGCTCACTAGAATGTGGTCCCAAGCATGCTCTGGACAGAGCCCCCAGTTGAATTAGTCACGCCTTCCCAGGGATCGGGCTGAGGGGTGCTGCTGAGAGAGGTTGTCCTCACACTGGGCCTGGAAGGTGAGGAACAGGTGATGAGATGGAGGAAGCTGGAAAGGTGGGAGTGGCGGTGATGAGAGCTCTCAGACAGGAAACAGGATTAGTTAAAAGTGTACACGGCCTGCCCGCAGGGTGCACTCATGCTGCAAGGAACTCCAGAGTTCACAGAAGAAGCAGGGAGGGTCTCTGAGAGGGTTGAGAGTGACCAAGATTCCAAGCTCAGAGGGAGGTTGGGCAGCGTGTCCTTGGCCAATGAGAGGCTGTGGATGCCCTCAAGAGACAGACGTTCCGGAATGTGAGGCTCACATCACTTGGGTAGGGAAGGGGGGCGGGTGCAGATCTGTGTCGGCTGTTTCAGCTCGCCTGGAATCTGTGCGTTTCCGCAGCGGGTTCCCAGAGACCCGAGACCTATGGAAAGTACCAGGCTGAGCCTGCGTTCCTGTCCAGCCTCTGCCATTCCTAGACAGCCACAAAGAAGCCCTGGTGTGTGGGGTGGCTTTGCGCTCTTTCTGCAGGCAGGGCTAGGCAGCAGATAATCCAGGCTTTGAGTATCACGTGGCCTCGCAATCTTCGGTGCTGTCTTTGCAGTGGGAAAAAAAGCACAGAGAGCGTCAGTTAAGGAGCTCCGATGGAATGTTAGCTACAAGAACAGGCAGTAAGTCAGACTCGGCCCACGGCTGTAGGGTGTTGTTCCTGGATCTCAAGAAAACACAGGTCACAGACAGGTATATTCTCTGCAAGTCTGTGGCCCTTCCCCGCCATCTGTCCCTCACATGTGGCCATGGGTCATTCCCCTATGCCCAGAGTTGCACACCCACAGATTCCCTTTTCAATACAGTCTCTGGTAGCAGGCACCCCCCCAACCCCCCACCCCCCGCCCCTGCTTTATTTACACATTGTATAAATCTGGGTGCCTGAAGAGTACTGCAGCCCAAGTAGCAGGTCCAGAGGCATGGGCTGGTAAGCAGACCGCACCCAGGCAGTATGGAGACACTTATTCTGATCCCACTTCCCTGGGGAATCTGTCTATGACTCCTTTTAAACAAGTGTAAACAAGTAAGAGAGGAGAAAAACAGGTCACAACATTTCACGTTGTAGCCACTGTATTCCTGGAGTAGATTTCAGAGCTTCTGAGCATGACATTCATACTGAAGTTTCTTGTGGTACCTATGTCTTTAGAAAACAGAATCTGAGTTCCCTGATGCAGTCTGTTCAAGCCCCTGGGAGGTCCTGGGCCACTTGGCATTGAACACACATATGTCCAATTAGAGGGGTGGGGTCTAGTCCATGAGCCACCTCTCATAGGCTGTCTCTCTTGCTTTTTGTTGGGGATGGTGGTGTCCTTTGGGCCACTCCAAGCTTCCAAGTCCCTGACTGCGAGATGAGTCATGGAGAAGGAGCTGCCTGCAGTCAGTGGAAAGCAGGCGTGTTTTCCAAGATTTATACACGCCAACATCTGGAAAGGTTGAGAGTGCCTCCTGCGACCTGGCACCGCTACCTGTTCATTTGGTTAAAGGAAACAAAGAGAGATGCAAAATGGCATGGCCGGCGCTGTGTTCCCCCAGCACCCAGTAGGCACCGCTGAAATGTACTAACATGACGCGGGAGGGGAGGGGCACGTTTGGACAGAAGTTGCTGAATTACAAAAAGCAAAGCTTAGAAGTTAACCTGTACTTCTCTGGGTGTAAATGTGTGCTGACGGGGCTTTGAGATGAGCACTAGGACTGACTGGTTGGACCATTTCTGCAAGCAGTTGACAAGAGAGTTGGCTTTGTAAAACCCCACAGTTCAGTGAGGCTTAGCTGCTAGGACACAGGCAGTCTACGGCAGCAGCTAGGCAAAGGTGCCTGTGGCTGAGGTGGAAGTCAGGAAGCTCCCGAGCAGCTCTGGGAGAAGGGAACGACCATAGGCCACTAAGGGAGTTTGGTCCACTTCCCTGAGTGCGGGTCTCACACTCCCCGAGTGAGTCTCTCGCACTTGCTGATTGAGTCTCACTCCCTGAATGAGTCTGGGCATCTCGGGCCCTGGGAGCTTCCCTTGTCAGAGGGTAGAAACAGCAAAAACCAGCAGTGCTCAAAAGATGTCACATCACAAAAGACCCCTAAACCACGGGGACAAAAATGGCCTATGTGTAAATCAAAATACCCACATAAATATGTGTTCTCCACGTAGGGAGGTGAAGGTAGCCGATAAGCAATACGATTTTTTTAGTTATTGCATTTTGGAGTTATAGAAGTACAGATGTTCAGGGTAAAATGAATAGTTTGGGTTTTTGTTTTTGTTTTGCGTAGATAACCCACTTGAATGGTTGGAAAGGCAAACACCGTAAAAGGTCCTGAGGTGCACGGTGCTTGTTCTTTACTGCCCTCGGCTCCTCTGGTTGGCCCAGACAATGTCTGCTGACATCTTCAGCATATTTAATGCACAGAGAGACCTTCATGTTTCATCTTGATTGACACAGAGCTTTGAAATTTGCTTTTTGTTGTTTTGTTTCTGTTTCCCTCCCTGGTTGTCCTTTATCTTGGGGGAATTTGCCTTCGTTTTCATTTTCTTCAAAGCATGCATCCTCACTGCACCAGGCCGAACCCGAATGTAGTTCCCTCATCCTTACTGAAGGACTTTTGGGCAGACAGATTCGGACCAAGCAAAAAGAGCAGCAATGGTACCCTGCTGGGCCATGTTGTTGTTTATTTAAAAAGCTGCCTCCTGGTAGAACGTTCTGGAAGGATGAGGACAAGAGAAGCACAGCCTGGCCAGGGATGTGGAGGCTACCTGTGTCTCCTCTGCTGGTGGGATGATGCTGGCCCCCACTGTGCAGGTTTCCTGTGAAAACTGAAAGTCATGAGTTAGTTGTAGATCCGATGCACGTTTGATCAAGTATAGCTTGACATTCGGCTCAGAGGCTCGGATGTGCTCGGTGTATCTGGTGTGCCTAGTGTCTCCCTAGCTCGGCTGAGGGCTGGGAACATATCAGATGCTGCTGGTGCTGATGCCTTCTGCCTGTGTGTCCTTTCAGGCAGTGGGATCCTGGCCATCCTTTTGGTAGCTGTGTTTCTTGAGCCTGTGAAAGATAAACTGGAGACCAAAGGGGAAAAGAGGCTGAGCTCACCGACGTTTTGGTCTACGATACTGTCGACCTTCACACTGTTTAGAGACAGGCGCCTGTGCCTCCTGATCCTGCTGCCCTTGTACAGTGGCCTTCAGCAAGGGTTCCTCTCTGGAGAATACACAAGGGTAAGAGAAAAGACCGTGGTTTGTGCAGTACACCTGCGCTCTACTTAAAGGGACCAGAGGGTGTCCCATGGCCATGGCTGCCTGCTCAGCCCCACCCCCACCCTGTGGAATCAGGAACATTGTGTTCCCACCTCTCTAATGGCTAAGCCTGTGATTTGAGACATCTGTTTCCAAGTAATGTTCAACACATCTGAGTGCTGACTTCTTATCCGGAGGGGATACTTTCAACTAACCAGGTGTCTTCCCCAGAAAGGGCGGAGCTTGTTAACTGCAGTTGTTACCAGGTCCATGTTTTGTTAAGTGCAGTTGTTACCAGCTCTGTGTTAACAGCCATTTCTGTTCCGCTGGCCTGCATCTCATCCTGTATCCTCTCTGCAGTTAAAAATAGAGGAAAGCATTGAATTCGTGAATATCAATGAAATTCCTTCTCCAGCTTTCAAATGACTTGTTCCAGTGGAGAAATCCATGTGGCCTCCATCCGCTTCTCCTGAATACCGAAGCCCCCACCCGGAGCAGCACGGCACTCAGGATACCCAGGGTGGCTGTTCCCCAGTGACTGGCACAGTCACAGTTACATGGCAGTCTGCTATCACAAATCTGTCCCCAGGCTTTGTCCCCTGGTACTGGGGAAAGGAGGGTGCTGCCTGGTGAGGCTCAAGTCCCAGAAGGGTGAGACTCCTTCCCCGTACACGCTGGGCACGTGGTAGCCTTGGGTTAGCTGCAGAGGCCAGGGCGAAGCTGGGATAATTGTTGTGTCCCTTAGTCCCGCCTCTAAGCCTCACCCTCCTGCACTCTAGAACATTTCCCACTTCACCCCCAATCCTCAATCTAGAGATAAACCTGCCAAATCGCAGCATAGATGGCGGCTACCCCACCAAGTCTGAGTTTTCAGAAACCACTTGTCTCGTAGGACAAGTGTGCCTCACGCAATGTTTAGACATCCTGGATCTTATTCAGCAGCAACAGTTTTAAGAGATTCAAAAAGGGACAAACAAAAAGTCTGCTCCCTGTTTGGGCATGTTCCCCTCCCCATCAGACTTGTCGTGTGACGCCAGCCTCAGCCAGCTGTCCCAGTGTGGCCTCCGTGCCTCAGCCAGCTGTCCCAGTGTGGCCAGCCTCCATGCCTCAGTCTATCTTCTGGTGTCATCCGTGATGCTCCTCAGTGATGGGAACCAAGTGTCAAGGCTGCCCAGCGGAGCCCCTGGCTGTCTACAGAGGTGCCACCTCCTTCAGCTGTCTGTAGACCAAATAGGAAATGATGACACCTGTTAAGACTGCCCTTGTTAACTATGTGAGATAGAGCAGGCAGCACACACGACAAATAATACGAGGTTTGTCCAGACATCTGTCCATTCCTGCCCAACGCGGACTCTCCCACACACAGCCTTGCTTTCCCAAGTGCGGAGCTATGGGCGCTGGGCCACCATCTGTGACATGGCATCTGTGACATGGCAGCTTCAGACTAGAACCCCGGGGAGGCCCGTAAGCATCACTAACACAGATCTGTGCCTCCCCCTAGTCTTACACAACCTGCGCCCTGGGCATCCACTTTGTGGGCTACGTGATGATCTGCTTCTCAGCCACCACCTCGCTCTGTTCCCTGCTGTTTGGGAAAGTTTCCAAGTACACTGGCAGAGCCGCGCTCTACGGGCTGGGTAGGTTGCTGCGCCGGATGCCGGATCATCAGGTGCTGGGGTGCCATGCAAAGAGGTACGCACAGAGGGGAGGGAGGGTTGCAGAAGAACCCACAGAGAAGCCCTGTAAGACTGCTTTCCCACCTCCCTGCACCCCTCTCTGCCTTCCTTCTACAAGAGGAGCGCATGTCTCTCCCCGCACAGGGCTCTGCCACAAAAGTCATGAGCCCCCTGGGACAAAGTCCCAAGGAGCAAGATGTCACAAAGCCCAGATGTCACTGTTCAGGTGGCTCCTGGTCCTCTCCTCCTCCCTGTATAGTTGTTTAGACTGTAGGTTGCACCCACTGTATCTCCCAGCCACAAAGCAGGGACTCAGGTTTCACGGCCCACCCCGAGGAGACATTTCACCGTGGGTCCTCATGATCCAGAGCCCTCCTTAGAGTTCGTCACATGCCCACACATCAGCTTATAGATAAGTGCAGTGGTTCCCCTGAATCACCCTGTTTCAGAGCGCTACACGAAAATGTTAGAAAAGCAGGTCGCAAGTGGGTGAAGGTGGTCCTGGTTCCCAGCACAGGTTATCAGAGGGACGCAGCCACCCACTGTCCTGTTCTGTTCCATTTGACCAGGTACAGCCACCCACCTCTCCTGCATTATCGTCCTCCTGGTGTGGCACCCACACCCGACCCAGCTGGCCATCTTCTTCCTCCTCCCTGGCCTGTGGGGAATGGCAGATGCTGTCTGGCAGACACAAAACAATGGTGAGTGCCCAACACAGGCTATGGTGCCTAGGTCTCAGTCAGCTGTCTGGAGGGGGTCCAGGCCAGAGGGCATGCACCAGGTGGACTCTAAGCTCACTGTGTATGACTAGTAGAAACCCCGTGAACAACCAGGACTGGAGCTGGGGATGGTGGAACCTCATGGGCTTCAGGCCACATTGTAGGTCTAAAGTACATGCTCATCTTCTGACGCAGAAAGGTCAGATGAGGGCCTTGGCTGTGTGCAGCACAAGGTGGTCCCCTAGAGCGCTCAGTAACGGCACAGAAAGAGGACCCAGAGGGAGTGATGGCAGGGAGGGGAGGGCTCATACAGCATCCAGATAGGGGATGTAGGACATTGGAATGTGGCTCACCCTGTGTCCTATGGATATGGGGCCATAGGGGATAGAGGGAGAGACATAGAGGAGGGAGGCAGCTGTGGGCAGACGTTAACGCTCCTGAAGGGACGGTCAGACTCTGAAGCACAGGCTGGGCCAGCCCCTACCCGAGCTGTGAACAAGGGTATAATCCTTTGAGCTGAGCTTGGAGAACTATCGGTGAGGGGCGTAGAAACGACCTTGACCACGCGAAGACTCACGTGCCAAAGCCCCCTTAGCGACCATGATCAGGAGGTTGGGAGAGACTACTTGAGCAGGCATGTCTGGAGACAGGAAGGTGGCATGGCTGTAGAATGCCATCATCCCCATGGGCTGTGGAATGGGGCCACCAGGCCCACAGACTGCACCAGGGAAACACCAAGAGAGCCAGCAGGGAATAGCAGTGGTGTGACAAGGTGGGGAAATGCTAGGGTCCTGGTGCTGGATGGAGGGCTGTGCCTTGCCAGAGTCTCCTACAAACCCCACAAAGGCCCCAGAGAACACCTGAAGCCCAGGCAGGGGAGGCTCTGTATCTGGCAGATCTTGGTGAGCTGGGACTGAGGGTTCCTTCAGACATCTGTGGCTCAGAAGCAACCCCCTTCTGTGAGACAGTGCCATTCCATCCTTCCTTAGGACTTATCCAGGCTTAGACATTGACTAAAGAAAATCCATAAATTAGCTTGAGGTTACTGTTGCCAGGGAGGGAACTGTCTGCATTTGCATGGCCGCAGTACACACATGTAACCTTGCAGGTGACAGACCACATTCTCCAGAGCGAGTTGTTGCTGTAATCCCAATGTGCTGTTTACAGGATCGCCGAAGCAATGTCTTAGAGCTAGGCTAACACTGCTGGGCATGTGGGATGTGGGTTCACAGTCCTTTTGGCTGCGTCAGTTACGCAGGTGACTTCAGTGAAAACAGAGGCAAATGACAAGTGTGTGTTTTGGCTGGTGCCTTAATCTAGTTTTTTGGGATCAAAGTCAGTAGCTGGGAACAAACGGTTGGACTTTGCCTGGCTGGCTGCAGGGCTGCTCCTGGGAACACATGGATTCAGTGTGTGTGTGTGTGTGTGTGTGTGTGTGTGTGTGTGTGTGTGTGTGTGTGTGTATGTGTGTGTATGTGTGTGGTGTAATCAGAGACTCAATCCAGCTTTCCTTGGTAGTCCAAAATTACAAACCAGCCTCACGACAGATCACCTAGGAATCCTAGACACCTTACTAGCATGAGAGAAACGGCTTTCTTTGCAGGGCTGAGAGATTTCACCAAAACATCCCCAGGGCCTACTCCATGCATCCTGACTGACTTCTGAGCTTATTGAAATTTCAAAAGTATTTACAAAGGCAAAGACAGCAACTGGGCAGATGGCCCACGTTACCCCCATTGCAGCTCTACGGAGGCATAAAAAGGGTTTGTTTTCTTTCCCTCTGAAACACATATTTGTGTTAATTCTCTCTTTCTTTATATTCTGTGAGATAGCCTCAAAGAACACCTTTGTTGTGCAAACAACCTAAGAAGACCCAATAGATGACATAAATATTCAAGTCCGGGGGATGGATTGATCAAGGACTTCCTTGAATAATGGGTACGAACTTTTATTAAAATGAAACGGTGTAGCTCTTTTTGTACAGGTAAAAGTACATTTTTTGTTGGTCAGAGACAAACCAGTTGCAGGGAAAGCAATTTCTTTGGGAGTCTATGTTCACAACCATCTTAGGGAGGAGAGGAGCTCTAGCCATGTCCCTGCAGCTGACTCCGCTCAGCTCCCCAGAGCACGGCAGTCCACGCCACCTCCAGACAGGTGTCTGTTCCTTTCCAGTTTGGTGAATTGCCCGTGGCTTTGGCCACGTCTCAAGAACAGCACTGTGTGGGGCTGGGCATTTGGTTCATTGGGTAAGAGCACTTGATGCGCTAGTATAACGACCTCAGTTTGGATTCCCAGCATCCAAGCGAAAGCTGGGCTTGGCCCTGTGAGCCTGTAATGCCAGCACTGGGGAGAAAGAGCAGAAACAGCACCACTGAGACTTGCTGCCTAGTTGGTCGAACAGAACGGTGAGCCCCAGCTTCAGCGACAGACCCTGTCTCAAGGAAGTAAGGGCCCAGAGTGATGGAGTAGGACACCTGATGTCCCCCTCTGATCTCTGTGCAGAGAGAGGAGAGAGAGAGAGAGAGAGAGAGAGAGAGAGAGAGAGAGAGAGAGAGAGAAACATATGTGGCCACAATACTCCCCTAACTCGTAGGGAAGGTATAAGCTCATCTCCCTTTCAGTCAAACTTCTGCAGCATGAAAGCCCGTCATTACCTCCCTCAATTTATCAGCTTGCCAGGGGACTTGCACGCTCACCCCTCCTTCCTGGGGTGGGATACCCCGCAGGCTCCAGGCGTTCCTCCAGCCTCCCAGCAGCTGATCTGTGCCTATCTGCTCACTCAGTCTGACAGCTAAGGGAGGATGAGTACAGTTGCTATAGCAACCCTCACGTGCCACTGCACTGCATTTACTCTATAGAATGTCTTGGTTAAAAATACACTTTGCCCTGTTAGCTGCCTAAGGGGCTGTTTTCAAGTTCATAAGTGCATCACGTCTGACTTCTCCTAAGTGCCCCATTCATTTAACCCATCTTTTCCAGCAGATGAGATTGTGTCTGCTTATCCACATCTCCTCAAACAAGGACTGGAGTCAGCATCTCAGTCCTTCAACCTGAGTCCCCTGAGTAGATGAGGCAGACAGGTCAGGCTGAGAGCAGGGCAGATTTTTTTGGTAAATAAACATTTTCGTTCACACTGGTCTTATATTCATAGAAAAGCTACAAAGACAGCCCCAAGTCTGCTCAGAGCCTGTGCTCAGGCCCCAGCGATAATTGTCTTACATAACCAGGGAACATTGACCAATATCAGGACATGGGTCACAGGTCACAAAGGGCGGATGCATTAGGATTTCCCTAGCCTCCCTGTTCTGCTCCAGGATCCCCTGCTGGGTGCCGGGCTACTCTTGGTTGCTGCATCTCCTCACCTGACTGTCTAGTTATTGCAGAAGTAGACACCTGGTGACCATGTTTGTCTAGATGTTGTTAGTGTGGACACCTGGTTTCTCACAGCCACTCCCTTACCTGTCTGTCTAGTCATTGCTAGTATGGACAAATGGGGGTCACGTCCCTTCGCTTGTCTGTCTACTTGTAGCTGGTATGAACACCTCTCCCTCAGGATGTCTTGATTCATAGGTCTTCCTAAAGGGACAGGTGGTGGCCCTGCCCAGGCTGTTTCCTGAAAAGGCAGTTCTGACTGTGACGTCCCCGTCCCTTGGCTCCTCCTGCTGGCGGGGACTCAGCTTCTGTTGGCAGAGAGAAAGGGATAGAGACATTTATGCTCATTCAGTTGAAAGGATAACCCTTGGCCTTCATACTTACCAGTTGTGGGTTCTTCCACCCTGGGTCCTCCATCTTGAGTTCTCCACTGAGTCCTCCACCCTGGATCTTCCATCCTGAGTCCTCCACCCTGGATCCTCCATCCTGAGTACTCCACTCTGAGTCCTCCACCTTGAGTCTTCAAGTCCTCCATTCTGAGTCCTCCACCCTGGATCCTCCATCCTGAGTCCTCCACCCTGAGTTTTCAGTCCTGAGTCCTCCATCCTGGGTCCTCCATCCTGAGTCCTCCACCCTGAGTTTTCAGTCCTGAGTCCTCCACCCTGGATCCTCCATCCTGAGTACTCCATTCTGAGTCCTCCACCCTGAGTCTTCAGTCCTGAGTCCTCCATCCTGGGTTCTCCATCCTGAGTCCTCCACCCTGAGTCCTCCATCCTGGGTCCTCCACCCTGGGTCCTCCATTCTGAGTCCTCCACCCTGAGTCTTCAGTCCTGAGTCCTCCATCCTGGGTCCTCCATCCTGAGTCCTCCACCCTGAGTCCTCCATCCTTGGTCCTCCACCCTGGGTCCTCCATTCTGAGTCCTCCATCTTGAGTTCTCCACCCTGAGTCTTCAATCCTCAGTCCTCTGCCCTGAGTCCTCCACCCTGGATCCTCCATCCTGAGTCCTCCACCCTGGGTCCTCCACCCTGAGTCCTCCATTCTGAGTCCTCCACCCTGAGTCTTCAGTCCTGAGTCCTCCATCCTGGGTCCTCCATCCTGAGTCTTCAATCCTGAGTCCTCCGCCCTGAGTCCTCCACCCTGAGTCCTCCATCCTGAGTCCTCCACCCTGGGTCCTCCATCTTGAGTTCTCCACCCTGAGTCTTCAATCCTGAGTCCTCTGCCCTGAGTCCTCCACCCTGAGTCCTCCACCCTGGGTCCTCCATCCTGAGTCTTCAATCCTGAGTCCTCTGCCCTGAGTCCTCCACCCTGAGTCCTCCATCCTGAGTCCTCCACCCTGGGTCCTCCATTCTGAGTCCTCCATCTTGAGTTCTCCACCCTGAGTCTTGAATCCTGAGTCCTCCGCCCTGAGTCCTCCACCCTGGATCCTCCATCCTGAGTCCTCCATCCTGGGCCATAGTGGGAAGTCAGTGTTAACATAGAGCAGGGCCTGCAGGGGTGCAAAGGGGGCTGAGGGTGGTCTTGGTGAAGAAGAGAGGGACCGTGTGAGTAGGAGCTAGCTGGAGCTGTCACCATGGTCTGGGGTGTGCACAGGCCATGGTGAATCAGGAGGGTGCATCACCTGTCCTTCCAAAGCCACCTGCTACGCAGCCATACCATGAGTGGGATCTTGCAGCTCTCATCCCGATCTATCAAAAGGCTGCACCCCATCACAGGGAGCAAAAGCAATACATTCGCTTTGTCCAGAAGCAGTTAGGCTATATGAGTTTGCTGCAACCGATAAACAGATGCCACGGCTTGGGGACTGCCATATGCCTGGATTCACGCCCCACTCCTCAGCCGGACTTTCACTTTGAAAGTTTCAGAAAGTCTCTACGTGTGTGTATCAGTTTAAAATGAAAATGTTCTGTCTTTAAAACCTGCTGAAGGTGCTAAAAAATAGAAGTTGCAGGGTTGGTAACGGAAGCCCCAAAGAGCAGCATTGGCCCGGACTCTGCTATAGCACTGGGCAGTGGGCATCACCCGCTAGGTCACTGCCCAAGTGTTGGTGGCATTCCCAGAGAACTAAAACTGCCTGGCTCTGCCTCGAGAGTGCTGGGATTGAAGGTATCCCCTGGCTACATCTGGGGTTTTACATGAGTGCTGGCTATTAGGGTTCCAAACAGCAGCAGCTTCCCCGCTCCCCAACAGGGACCTATGGACTTTTGAAGCCTGAAAAAGGGAACTGAGCTGATAAGCACCTTGGCCTTTGAAGTCCAGGGAAACAAACTCTGCTGAGAAGCAGCCTGCCTCTCCTCTGAACTCCAAAGACAAGATAAGCAGATTCTACCTGACAACCAGAGATTTTAGGAGCTGTTTAACACAGCAGCTTTTCCCTTATCTTAAGAGGAAAAAAGTAAACACTTCCAGACCCAGATCCTGCCTGGCAGACTGAACGGAGCCAGGTTTAGAAGCCCTGCTTTTCCTGCTTCCCCCTGCTTGATTTTTCCCTAAAACTCCCCCCCCCTTCTGCACCCTGAAGCCCCCGTATATAAGTCCCAGCTCACAACCCGTGGGCTGACATCTTTCCCTTCCCCTAGGGAAACGTGTCCCGTGGGAAATAAAGCTGTATCCCACTGAGAGTTCTATCTGTGCCTCGGTGCCTCATCCTCCATTCGCTAGCTCTCCGCCCAAAACTTTTACCTATCATTGGCAATCCAAATTCAGGCCTCATGCCTGCACACAGGCATTTCTTTACCCACTGAGCTATCTCCCCACCCATTTGAGGTCTTGCGCAAAATTTTTCATTCCAGTCTCTCCTTCACAGCTCTTTACGGGGCTCTGTTTGAGAAGAACAAGGAAGCGGCTTTTGCCAACTACCGCCTGGGGGAGGCCCTGGGCTTCGTCATTGCCTTTGGCTACAGCTCCTTCCTGTGCGTGAGCGTCAAGCTCTACATTCTCTTGGCAGTCTTGAGTCTGACCATGGTGGCTTATGGGACTGTTGAGTATCTGGAATCCAGGGCCACCGGGGAGATCACTGCTGCAGGAAAAAAGACAATTCAGGAAGAGAAAGGAGAAATGCAAACAGAAATGTAAGGCCAGGCAAGCCACTGCGGAACTCGGGAGTTTCCTGTGAGCCACTCTGGGGACAGGCTCATCCCGAAGTCAGCCTATGGTTTTACTTTTTTATGTATTTTCCTCAATTCTAACAATCAGTCCATTTTTCTACACATAGAGACCAAGATTATATACAAAAGACTGGGGGGTGCAACTCAGCGCTAGAATGCTTGCTTAGCAGGCACTAGTCCATGGATTCAATTCTAATACCCAAAAAATAAAAATAAAAAATTTAGGTACTATAGTGGGGGAGATGGTTCATTTAGACAAGTGCTTGTCACGGTTAGTCTGAGGACCTGAGTTCAGATCCCTAGCACCCATGTAAAAAAAAACCTGGGCATGCTGGCCAGGCATGGTGGCACATGCCTTTAATCCCAGCAGAGGCAGGCGGATCTCTGTGAGTTCAAGGGAGCCTGGTCTACATAGTGAGTTCCAGGAGGAGACCCTGTCTCAAAAGAAAACAAACAAAAAATTGACAGCAGTTGAGGAGGACACCTGACATTGACTTCTGGTCTCTACATGATTGCTCATACATGTTCATATGTGCACACCCCGCACCCCCAAGAGTAGTAATAAAAGTATCTGTTAATTGTAGACGGTAAAGAAACACATTGAAATTTGCATGGAATCAAAGATTTGTCTTGTTTTTGTTGCTGTTGTGTTTAAGAATTGGGAGGACCATAATCTTATAAATAGATGAGTGTTTAAACTTACAACATGATAAGTTTTACAAATGGGTACAGAAAGTCAATTGAACATACCTCACAGAGTGGCAAGCCGCACTGTCCTTTGTGCCTCTTGAAATTTACAGATGTTTCTAAATAAATACAATTATTTCATGCATCTATTTACTGCCCCAAACTTTTATTCTAAAGACTCACATGGAACATACACACACACACATACATACACACACACATACACATACACACATACACTCACACACATACACACACGTGCACACACGCACACACACATACACATACACACTTTTCATCAACTGAGGGATTGTGCATGTTGTGGGCCATTACAAAGTGTCAAGAAGGATTTCAAATGGGACTCAGGACACACAACTATCATCATGGTGAGAGCAAACACAGTACATGCAGCTGTGCATGCCAAGTGCCCATGCTGTCACATGGTGGAGTTAGACATGGCTTGTATGTTAATGTCAGGTGCCTAGGCTGTGTCTATGGTGGAGCCATACATAGCTCATGTGCCTACATGTCAGTGGTCGTCCCACAGCCACTGCCCTGGCCCATCACCCGGGGGTCTCTTCTTCTTCATCTCGAATGGCTCCTATCAGTGGCAGTGCCAGCCATACTTTTTTCTCTGAGTCCTTCCTTCTTTGCCACAGAGCTGTGTCCCCTGGCACCCCTGCCTAGTCCCCTGTTCAGATTTGATGCCTCCTTCCTCCATTTCTCTTGGTTTTTCTCCCTGCCCCACCACATGGAATTTGGCTGGAAAGTCAATAGATATTTATTCAAAGGCCTTTAATGGGGACAGAGTGTTGGAATTGGCCTCCTCATCAGCCTAGGGGTTATCGTTGGTTTCGTTTTCTCAGCCAATTAAAGAATGAAAAGGCATGACAAACCTCAGAGCAGCAGAGGGCCACAGTCGAACAAACTTATTGAAATGAAGAATCACATCCATGCACACAGAGAATCACATACACAGACACATCCATACAGAACGAAGGCATTCTACACAAGTGGAGAGGGGACCCAGAAACCACAATCCAGTGTTCCCTGGAGAGAATGTGGATTTTAAGGGGTTTAGTGGTTTCCCGCCCTTAGTTTTGGACTGGCCAATTTAAGCAAAGAGAATGCTGATCGTTCACGTCTTCAGGGCTATGTGACTCTAAGCAGGTTAGTTGAAGAGGCCCCACTGGAATTAAAAATGAAGCCTTTCTGTCAGACCATGAAGCAGGAAGTATGCCATCTGTATTACTTCTCAGTGACCCTGTCAGAGTCCCTTACAAGAGGACACATGAACTCCCTGCAGCTTGGAGATTTAGGATTTTGTAGAAAGGTGAGGACCTCTTGCATGTAAGCAGGTGTGAGATGGCTTGGGGACTGCTACCCCAGGGAGGCTGGTGCAGGGGTTGGGGGGTCAGGAAGTGCAAGTGAGTGAACCTGGGGAGCCAGCCAGCTGGAGCAGGGAGGTCAACCTGCAGTGGAGTCCTGGGGCAGAGGCCACGAGAGCACTAACTTCATTGCAGTCAGGAGGAATCTGCACAGACAGCACCTGGTGCCTTGGGAGGGTCAGTCTCAGACACCTGAGCTGTGTGTGTGCTAGCATGGCTTAAAAGGAGGTCAGATGCCTCGGTTAGGGTGACGTGGAGAGCACATGGGCCAATAAGGATCTTTTTCATGATCCCTGTGGACTCTGCCAAAGGTACATGAAATGGCCCCATCCTGAACTCCAGACAGATGGATCTCTCCAGCCAGGGATCAAATACCCATTTCAGTTGAAGAAGTTGGGGGGCCGGGAAGGGGGGAGGCTGCCTCTCCAAGGGCTCCTGAAACAGATGCTGGATTAAGTAGCAACTGCTCCTGGTTGTCATTTCTGTTGGGTCAGTGGTGAAACTCTGTTGGGCCCCTGGGTCACTGTAAGCTTCACCTGTGCTTAGGTGGAACCTTGGCTCAGAACCACAAACTCCTGCACCTGCTGAACATTCCATATAAGAACACTTTCTTATAAAGAGTAGTTAAGGGCTGGAGAGATGGCTCAGTGGTTAAGAACACTGGTTGTTCTTGCAGAAGACCTGGGTTCGAATCCTAGCACCCACATGGCAGCTAACAACTGTCTGTAACTCCAGTGCCA